GAAAATTTATTAAACAGAGCTTTCACTTGGCATGCATAGCATATATTTTAATTTTTTTTAAAAAAAAGAACTTATAATAAAAAATTCAAAAATTGGTTAATATTTTCAAGCAATAATAGTTTTAAGCATTTTAATGTCATTAAAAAAACTACTAAAGATGTTAATTGACACTGCTAAAGTTGTCTTCAATAGTTTTTTTTTGAATAATGTATGTACTTTTGTTTATTATCGGAAATAAGTATTTGTTGTCAGTTTTTCTATTTTTTGAAGTTATGTTGTTGTTGCATTTTTTAATTTCTGATTTAAAAAAAGATTCATATCTATTATATTATTTATTTTTATTCTTTATATTAATAATATTGTTGCTATTACAATTAATTAAAAACTACAAAATATCTGTAAATATGTAAATATCTCTGTAATAACTTTTTCAGAATATGTATGATTGATTGGTTGTTTGAATACAGCACTATTTCTGTAAATGTAAATAACTTCAAAACATAAACAACAAATATTGTCAAATTTCTTTTTGTCTGGACCTGCACTTGTGAAACTATGTGTTGATGCACCTGGTGGAGATACAGATTATGTGTTTTCATTAAAAGTTACCAATTTTACTAGCACTTTACAGTTCATAAAAATAGCCACAATAATCATTTAGTATACCATCAAATTTTTATCCATTCCTCAACAATTACTTAGTTCAGCAGTCAAAGCCTTGTCTGATAAAATTTGTAACGATGTGAGCTGCAATCATTCATGCAGTTATCATGGAATGTACATTGATTTTTATAGTGAATAAGTATAAATTAATCAAATTTAAAAAAGTAAATATAAACAAAGTTTCTGAAACCTATAGGTAGTATAAAAAAACAGACCCTACATGACCATCCTGAGCTCATTGAAAAGTTAAATGTTTATGCTGAAAGAGTCTTATATTAAAACGTTTTTTGTGCAGACATAATTGATTCTATAAGTAAGCAAATAAAGAAAAAAAATTTATACCGCATTTAGAAATACCCAGCTCCATTCAGTATTCTAATCCATGAAATAACACATAAATTCTATAAAACTTGCTTGATTAATATACCTTAGTAATACATTTGATGATTTTCCAACTGCTGGAGTTACTAGAGTTGAATGCAGCCAATGCTGCTAAAATCAGATTCTAAACTGTCTTAATTGGCATGGGTTTTTAGATTCCTATTTATACATCAATTTCCTAGGTTTTTGCAGTGCTGGTGCCTCTGTTATAACTGGATCAAAGACTGGCAGCTTCACACAATTAAAGCAGAAGTTTTCTCCGTTAGTAGGATGGCATTGTTTCAACATTGCCTTGAACTCAGGGTTGGCACCCAAAAACCCAAACCCAAAAACCCAAGAGCAAAAACTTACCAAAAACCCAATATAATGGGTTTTTGGTCTTTCGTAACCTAACTTAATGGGTTTTTGTATTTATAATATTTTTATTCATAAATTAATTTCCATTCACACTCAAGATTAGTGAATCATAAATGAGATTTTATTTTATTTAGAGTAGAAATATTCAAACTTAACAAAGTTAAAACAACTTAGTCATCAGCAATTATTCATCTTGACCTTAATGTATGTAAATTCCTACAAGCATTTTTTGCTTTACCTCTTCCTAAAAGATTCCTAATTTCCCTAAATATTTCCTAAATCAGGCTTCATTTAACCATTCGTCAGCTTCTTCTTCTTGACTTCTATCCAAGGTTCTTTCTAAATAAATAGGTACAGTTATAAGAGTAGTAAACTTAAAAGAAAATTTTTTATCAGTATTTATTTTAATTTGATCAGATGCAAGTTTTTAATTTTTTTACAATTTTATGGTTACCTTTACATTTTGGATCTGTAAAATTGGCTAAAAAAATGATATGGAACAATTGTTTTCTTAAACCTCTGTAAAATATCATCTTTATATCCTCTTGGATACTATGAGCAATTATAAAATCATTACTAAATGTACTCCAATTATCTTGAATTAGGATAACAGCACAATCATTATCAAGATCACATTTCATTATATTGATTATTTCTTTGTTTACCTTTAATAAGAGTTCTGAAGATATCTGTTTTCTATACTATAGGTAGTCAAGTCAAGTTTTTCTACTATGTTGAATTGTATATTTGTTGAAAAAAAGAAACCTTTAAACCTACAAATCCAGTTCATTCTTCTGATTACTTGTTGTTGAAGTAACAAATTTAGAAACGGATGTTTGCCGTCAATTTGACGAAGATTTACTAATAAAGCTTAAGTAATCTTGATAATTATCTTCTGACTGGTTAGACTTGTTTGATACTGCACATGTAGATGGTCTTGACTCTAAAACTGATGTATTGCTAAATACTTCTGCGGAATTCTTAGCGTTTCCTTTTTTCTTACTTCTGAATTTATCAAAATGGATCTTAACTCTCACTACTTTTTTAATTATGCTCTCTTTGCAATAATTACATATTACTGTACTTGGTTGATCACTTAGTATGTTCACTTCATTCTACCCACTAGCCTAATTTCATCCCTCAAGTTTATACTTAGACATGTTAATGTCAAATAAAGACGTATAATTCAATTCTAAACTTTAAAAAAGGAAAAATAGCTTTTAAATAACTATAAATTTATCAAACTTTGTTACTAAAGGTTTGTACGCAACTTAAGTAAAAACCTAATAACCCACCCAAAAACCTACCCAAAAACCCAGTTGGGTTGGGTTTTTGCTCAAATACCCGATGAGAGAGCTTTCTGCAGCAGAAGTTGAGGTTTGTCTTCTTAAGACTTGGCAAATTCTTAGTACATAGTGGGTTGCCTCATCATTTTGAAATGTCTATTTTGTGAAAAGTTTATTTTGTGCAACTTTAAAGCTTTACATTTGCATTTCATAAATGCATAAATTAATTAAGCACAAAACTGAAATTTAAGAACCAAATAAAAAAAAAAAAGATTTGCACAGAAATTGGTAAGCGTCTCATTTCATAAAAACTTGGCTTTACTATATGTTACAATAGAAGAACTCAAATCAACTTCAGAAGTTCTTCAATTGAAAAATGTCACACTCGCAAAAGCAATTTATGTTATCTCTTACCTCAATAGTTTCTGAGGTCAAACTGGCTATTGAAAATAGTATTTCCCAAGATGTGAATATATCAGAAGGCAAGCCACATTTTATCAGAAGCCAGTAAGAGGTTTCAAGTCACGCATAGTATTGCCAGGGTTAAAATCTCTGTATTCTTCATCAATGGTTGTACTTTTAAGCATAGATTATTACAGATGTAGTACCGGATTACATTTTGCCAGTAGCAAGACAGCCTAACCTGTATATTAGGGTTAAGACAAAAAAATTTTGCAAAATTATGTTTCTTTCTGTGGTTGCAAATAATGAACTTTAGTAGTCTAATTATTTTAAAATTATCATTAGAGCTGTTTCTGAAAAAAATTCCTACACTAAGACACCCACCATGGCATGGTAGGTGTCTTTTTTTACAAAAAAATATTTTTCTCCTAGAGTATATCATGACATGATATACTCTAGGAGAAAAATATTTTTTTGTAAAAAAAGATACCTTCTACATTTGAGCTTCTACATTGTAGAAGCTCAAAAGAAGTTAAATTTTATAGAGATTTCATAAATAACGATCTTTTTCAAATGTAACCTTAAGAAAAGTAATATTAAAAAAAAATGTTTTAGAAAGTGATTTTTTTTCAATTTTTATTTTAAAATGTTAGTTTTTTAACAATAAATTTTAAAAAACTGAATGCTATTTAAAAGTTTTATTTTTTTTCAAACTTTTTATAAAATTTTGCTTTTTTTTGAGGTCCAACTTTAAATATTTTGGAGAGAAATATTTTTGGTAATATATGGCACCTACCATGTCATTGGGTGTTTTGATGGAGGAACTTTTTTATGAATTGAAAGAAATAATTTTCTTAATTGGTATTAAAATGTTCATTGATTTTTACTAAAAACGATTTTTTTTTGTCATAACCCTACTGTATATATGATTTGTTATGTTTCAAACATTTTAACATGTTTTATTTCTCCTTTATATTAATATTCTATATGATGCAAAACAATTTATATGCTATTATGATATTATAAATTCTTATGCTATATATAAAATTGAGAGCATGCAAAAGCATGCAATAAAAATGCATGCAATAAGCATGCAATGTTGTTGAAAAATAGCATGCAAAAGCATTTAATATTGTTACAAAAAATAACATACAATTTTAGCAACATGGCATGCAATTATCTTAAATGTTGGCTAGGAACCCTGTAAATAAATTATTAAATTATAAAACCTGATTAAAGAGGTTTTTAATTACACACTTTTACCCAACTATATTCAGTATACTATCTGTTTTTATTTTTAATTGAAGGTCTATATTTTTATCATTTTTACATTTTCTTACAATTAGCGATTAAAATTAATGATTTTTTTGTACATTAAATTTGTATTGTATAAATATAAATTAATCAAATTTTTACAGTTTTAATATTTTTGTTTACTTGAGTTTGTGGTTATGTTATTGAATTGAAAAACGTTTTTGTTTCTATCAAGTAATAAATTCTAATTAGAAGATGAATCAAACTCAGAAAAGACAACAAAAAGAAGATTTTGGATTTGAGTATGAAAGGTTGTGTGCACAATTTAGTTGTTGTCCAAGTTCTTGTGTTACTGCAAATCTAAAAGACTATAAACTAGACTTTAATGGTGACAGGATTGGTTTGAAAGAGTGGGAGCCATTGTTATGTTCCATCAAAGTCAACAAATCTTTAAAAACTATTTCTATTAAAAGTGTCAAACAACCTACAGAAGGTATATAGTATGTGAGTTAAATTTAGTGCAGAAAGTATAAAATAAAATTCAAAACAAAAATTTAAATTTTTATTGGCAGCATTGATGTCTTTCACAGGATTTTTTTATGTTTTTCAGATTAAACCTTTGTGTTAAAAATTTTTTAACATTCAAAATTAGTTTAAGGTCAGCAATTTAATTTAGACCCCACATTTAGACCCCACATAGAATATTATGTCACAAGGTGCTGACCCCCCCTCTCTTTTTTAACAAATCATTACAAATAAAACATAAAAAATTTCTGAAATAAAAATAGTAGCAAAAATTATCAACCCAACCTCCAACTTGGAAAAGTTGTCACAAAATACTGGACCCCTCCTTCCCCTAGATGCAATTTCGATAAAAATTTCAATCCCTTAGGATCAAAATTTTTAAATCTGTTTCTAAAAAAACTAGGTAGGATGTAAAAGTTATACTTGATTATTCCTATTAAATTAACAAAGAAAAATTACATTTTTCATTAAACGTTCGTTACGTTACACATTTTTCATAATTTAATAAACCCATCTATATAAATAAATATATATATATATTATTTATCTATATAAATATATATATATATATATATATAATATATATATATATATATATATATATATATATATATATTTATTTATTTATATAGATATATGTATTATATAATATATTTATTTATGTATATATATATTAATATCAAAAAGCAAAAATTATAAAAAATTGTAAAGAACTACACATTACAGTGTTACATCTCATAAGGTTAAAAATGTTACTTTTTGTCACACAAAAATAACACACAATTGATACATAACGGTTACGCAAAAATGTTGTTTTGATATGTAAAGTATGTTTGTTGCGTCTTGTTATGTAAAAATATTATGTAACAGTTATGTAATGTTACGTCTCTTAACGTAAAAATTTTATGTAACATTACGTATGATTAACGGACATTTAGCATGTATTGTAACCTGGTTTGCTACGTAATGAAACTTAAAAATGTTATAGGAGTTAAACAATTATTAAATAATAAATGAATTATTAAATAATATACGTAGCAAGTTAGTAATTAAGTAATAAAGGTAAAAAAATAAGTAACAAATAAGTAATTAAATAAAAAAAGTTAATAAGTTTTGTATTAATTTAAATATTTATAAATTTTTTTTAAATTCAAGTATAATTGTTTAGGAAATAAACTGGTAAAAAAAAAAGTTGCAGCAATTCGTTCAAAAGAAATAACAATCAAGTTAGCCAGGTATTTTAGATACATTGAGTAATCATATTGAGTTTTCAAATGACAGTAATAATATTTTTTATTAAATAACTTAATCAAATATTAAGTCTTAGCAACAGGTTATTTGCAACTTTTTGCATAACCAATATTTACAAGATTGATAAGAATTTGTTGAGAAAATTCTGCCAGTATGACCATGCATAAGTGACGTAATTCAATTAGTTGAAAAAATTCCGCTAACAAGACCCTGCATAAATGACTTTTAGGAACCGAGTTTATTAACTTATGAATTCTGTTATCCCAAAATGGGTAAAAAAAAAAAAGTAAATAAAGCATAAGTTGTCTTTTGCCTGACATAAAAAGTGGAACATTTAGAAAAAGGAAAAAACTTGAAAATACTTGTTGGAAATTTTGTAGGAAATTTTTTTTTTCATTGATCATTTAAGTTAGCGTATTTAAATCATAGTTATTTATTTTTAATATATTGTATAATTTTAATATATGTGTTTACAGACATGCTCTTTACTAATTAGACATTAATTATTTACTAAAATAAATACTTTGTAATATTAGTATTCTTGTAGTATTCTTGGTATGTTATAGTCCTTAAATAGAGTTTTTTATTATGTGACTATTTTTAAATTATAATCGCTAAGAAACAGACAGTACTAGAAAAATTATAGTTCAAAAATTTAAAGATATAAGATTTCAAATTGGCAAAAATATATATATATATATATATATATATATATATATATATATATATATATATATATATATATATTCAACCCTCAGAATTAAAAAAAAATAAGGTCAGCAATATATTGCCGACCTTGAACTGTTAGAAGTCAGCATCAGGTTGGCAAAAAATGCAGAACCAAGGGCTGTTTATTAAATAAAAGTATTTAATTTAAAATTAGTCAACATTCTTGACCTCATTTAAAATTTAAAAAATAGCAGCCTATGAAAACCTTCAGTACATCCTTATATCTTATCATCCATTCTTACATTTTATCATCCATACTTACATCTTATAATCTACTTCAAATTCTTTAACAATGAATTGTTTTTCTTTTATTTTGGAAACAATTTCAATATATATATATATATATATATATATATATATATATATATATATATATATATATATATATATATATATATATATATATATATATATATATATATATATATATATATATATATATATATATATATATATATATATATATATATGTATATATATATATATATTATATATATATATATATATATATATATATATATATATATATATATATATATATATATATCAGTTTTTTGATTTACTTTAGAGCTTTGAAAGATTGCTTAGAAAATAGTCAATGTTTAGAATGTTTGGTCCTGCAAAACATCCCATTTCGAGAGCAAGATGTTTATATTTTAGCAAAGGTATCTTTGTAAAGCTGCTTAATGGAAATTTATAAAATTTACAATAAATTTTTTGAGATTTTCTGTTTTTATTTTCAACAGGGTCTTGAGAATTCAAAATCACTCAAGCATTTATCTTTTGAAAAATCTAAAATTGGTGACACTTTATTTAAAGGTGCTTTTGTTTTGTTATAATAAAAACTGGTTATTAGTTTTTTTTTGATTAAATTTTTTTAATAAACATTTTTTCCTTCATCTGTTGTTATTTTTTTTCAGTTATTTGTAAAAGTATCAAGAGTTCACAAACCTTGGTTTCAATTAATGTTAGTGGATGTGGTTTAACCTGGAAAAGTGCTGAAGATTTAGCTTCAATAATTAAGGTTGGTCATCGTGATGGTGATGATCATAATGAATATCATGATTATGATAATGATCATGATGGTGATGATCATAATGAACATCATGATTGTGATAATAATCATGGTGGTGATGATGATCATGATCATCATTATTATAATAATAGTTATTATTATTATAACTAACAGAAGTGCATATGGAATATTTAAAATACATTGTGCTGTGAAGCCTGCCGCATATACAGTATTCAACATATACATTTTTTTTTAATGTCCATAATTCCACACTTATTTGGTTCAGACAGGTTTCCACAGAGTTATTTTTTAAGTAGAAGAATTAAATCAATATTTTATAACTAAATGCCTTTCCTAGCATTTACCTGTTTTGCAGATCAGAGTATAGTTATTGTGATTACTATTACTGGAGAACTCTTATTATTTCCCTTCTCTTATTTTCTCCCTTCTTTTATTATAAGTTTCTCCCATCCTTACATAGTTGCAAATTAGTTATTTCAATAGTTACTTCTACAAATCTGAACACATTTGTAAAATACTTTGTTCATTTATTTTAGATTATGTTAACCTCAGCTTGAGATTGAGGTTGAGCCACTATAGTTAAGGAGACCTTTCTCTTTTTACCATATAATATTTTAATAAGGAATTCAATGCTGTTACTCATTCGTGAGTGTTTGGCACTCATGACAGCCATTACATCAGAATTAATGGCAGGAAAGAGTTGCAGCATTTTTTGCAGAAGAAAAAAATGTGAAGGAAAGTGTATGCAAATATCTAGCTCATGGAAACTTTAAATTATGTAATGCTAAAACATATATCAAGTTTTACAGTTTTAATTTTAAATTGATTTGTGTCAAAATCTCCTTAATTTTGATTTATAGCATTTATTTACCGTTTTATAAAATCTAAAGTTTATTAAATACTTTTAAAAATTTCATCGAACAATACACCTTAGTGGCTAAAGTGGTTAGGTCACAGTATTCTGAAGAGGATCGCAGTGGTTCAATCCTTGCTTTTCCACTTTCTTTCTTTTTTGAATTTTTTTTTTTGATTTTATAAAATATTTTTATAAAGTTTTACTTTTATTTAAAAATTGAATTGCGGCAAAATTTCCTTAACTTTGATTTGAAGCATTTATTTGGTGTTTTATAAAGTTATTAATTGCATTCTGTCTTGTTTTTTAAATAATGTTAAAAATAATCAGTTTAGCGTGTTTTAGTGGATGAAGTACAATGTGAGGGTTTAAATCCTGTTACTTGCGTATTAATTTTGCGTAAAAGTCTTTTCCAATTTTCTAAAGTACAAATTAAAGCATTTTTAAAGTTCTATTGTTGATATATAAAAATATAATAAACAAACAAAATGGAGAGAGTTTTTAAAAATTAAAACAGCAGAGAAATTTTTTTGTGCTTATGTAGACACTTAAGTTATTAATGTGATTAGATAATTAGTTAAGACTACGCGTTCAACACAAATTAAAGAGACAACCTTTTTTTTATGGAAAAAAGATTTAACATGCAAACTTTTATTTTCTTCAAAATTAAAAAACTGTTGGAGGTTCCTAATAAGCTCTGGATGGTCTGGGAAAAAATTTAATAAAAACTTAATAGAAACTTAATAAAGAAAAAATTTTTGAAGTCTGTAGCCGTTTTTACCCATTATAGAAGTTTACAATTTTACAATAAGAAGTTATTAAGTATTGAACATTAACTGTTAATTCAAAACAAAGATTTGACAGATTCATTTTCTACCGTTAAATAGCGTTTTGCGCAACGACTCACTATGCGTCGCGAAGCGGAAATAGGATTTTACTTTTTGGAAAAAATTTTTCAATTTTAATATTTTAAATATTTTTTAACTGAAACAAGTTAGTATTAGTTAATAAAAAAAAGTTTTTTTTTAATTTTTTTAAATTTGCCTTTTTAGGTGCGGGATTTTCAGGGGTAAAAAACCCCATGTTTTCACTAAATCTTTAAATTACATAAGATAATTTTCAAATTTCTTCATTTTTTTTTGCACATTTTCTAATAAATGATACATTTTGTAAATTAAAAACCAAGAAAAGAAAAAAAATATGTTTGGATCATTGTTTTTGGCTGTCTGTAAAGATTGATCGATTAGACCATGTTACTACAGAGGTAGCCAGTTTTTTATTTTTTTAAAATTTTCTCAAACAAATTGACTTTTTATAAGTGAAATAATATTCTGGCTACCTCTGTAGTAACATGCTATAAAATCAATTCAAAAGAGGTGGATTTAGTAAAAACCGGTTAGTCAAGAAAAAATTGGATGCGGGCGGAACTTTTCTATTCTTTAAGTTATAACCTAAGTTTGGCTCTCATCATGATTTAGAATTTTTAAAAAATGGTTACTTTTAATCTTAGCAAACTTCTGGCTGATGATTTTCCTTCAAGGCATATTTTCACGAGTAAAAATGTATCTGAATGTGCTAAGTTTTTGCAGTCCAAGTTTTTATCACTTTATGCTGATTGCACTGTGAATTTCAACATTTTCAAAAGTCTGGCTTTTAATTTAATAAAAAAATTTAATGAGTGTGGAATATGTATATATATATATATATATATATATATATATATATATATATATATATATATATATATATATATATATATATATATATATATCAGGCCTTGTTTTAAATAAAAAAGTGCTTAATGCATTAGCTTAACGCGATTTTCACGTCATAAAATTGATATATAATATTTTTTTTTATAGACGTTAAGTGTTTTAACTACCGCAATAAATAAATAACCGCAAACTATTTCAATTTAACAATTAACTTAAATATAAACTATAAACGTTTTAAATACAAATTTATTATGAAAATTTTGTAATGTTTTCAATAGTTATTTTATTATTAATTTTAGTTCATTATTATTTAGTAAAATATATATATATATATATATATATATATATATATATTATATATATATATATATATATATATATATATTAATTATTTCTGAAATTTGTTTTAGATTAATTGTTTTTAATCGTTATTGAATAAAAAATAATAATGATTTTTTTTATTTTTAATAATTTCTAGAGTAAACAAAAAATATTAACATTGATAAACGCAAACCCATGTTAATTAATATAAACTATAAACGTTTTAAATACAAATTTATTATGAAAATTTTGTAATGTTTTCAATAGTTATTTTATTATTAATTTTAGTTCATTATTATTTAGTAAAATATATATATATATATATATATATATATATATATATATATATATATATATATTAATTATTTCTGAAATTTGTTTTTGAATAATTGTTTTTAATCGTTATTGAATAAAAAATAATAATGATTTTTTTTATTTTTAATAATTTCTAGAGTAAACAAAAAATATTAACATTGATAAACGCAAACCCATGTTAATTACTAAACAACGATTTTGTTTCGACTAACAAAGAAAAATTTAAGTTTTTAAATATTTTTAAAATTTTTAAAAGCGTTTCAAACTTGCGTTTTATAAAAATATAAAAAAGTTTTGTCTGCTTTGTGCATATTTTTGATACGTAGTTTAGAACGCGTTCGCTAGGAATTTAATTCATAAATTTTTTATGTTATTGTAAAAATATTTAACTTTTTAAACAAATCACAAAGAAACAGAGCTATAGAGAAAAATCGTTTTCAACGATTAAATCTTTTTTTTTTTAAATTTTAGGAAATTAAAAAAAAAATTAAATTAAATATAAATGTCTTAACTATGCAAACTCTTTTGTTAATTATTCTTAAAACAAAAAAAAACAAATACTTCTACGCCAAACTTTAATCATGCAAACTTAAAAAAATACTCAACTGAAATAATTTAAGTATATTTAATAATTTGAATCGTATCTGTTTATAATAAACGTTCGTAAAAATTTGTTTATTAAAAATTAAGTTCTTTAACTTAAAAACAAACTCAAAAGTATTTTCATTCTACGTATAGTTACAAAACTCTTTTTTTTTTTCGTTTGAAAGCAATTTAACTTAATAAAATAAAAAAAAGAATAAATATGAGGTAATCTTTGTTAAGAATAACGTTAATTTATTTATTGAACTATATTTTTATTTTTAATTATATATCAACTTAATTAAAATATAGTAACATGTTAAAATATTTTAACATGACTTGTATTATTTATAAACCGTTGGGCAGTTGCCCTTACGGCACTATTGTTTTTGGATAATATTTTATTTTGATGAAGATCACATAACTTACATTTGATTTTAATAACGTAAGTCTTCTCTTTTTCTGTGATCATCGCATCGGCAAAGTCCCAAGATTTAAAAGTTTTTAAAGTAAATCTTTTGTCCTTCAAAATACAATCCATATTCGAACTTTAAACAATTTAGAGATAATAGAAATATACAAGGTTTTTATATACTAGTTTGTTTTGTTTTATAAAGAAAAATACATAATCATTAGTAAAAAATGGAGACTGTCATTAAACTAAAACGTGCCTTAGTATTTATTTAACGGAACCTGTAATGTGCGCGTGCATAATAAAACCTCCGTTATATAAATATATTCAACGTAATATTAGTGTCATCAGCGGATGTTGTAGTCTACTCATGATTTCTTTACCTTATATTATAACTTGATTTATGAAAAAAAAAACT